TTACCCGTTGCCAATGGATCCGAGGGAATCATCTTTCATGAACACCGGAATCATTTCGATAGGAAAGACCTCCGATTCTGCTGTTAAACCATCAGTCAATGGCAGCGGTATTTCATTATGTGATGGATTTCTAATGATTAGTGGCATTGGAGGTCCCGATTGCATCATTGGGTCGGAAGCCATTGTCAACATGGGGTCGTGGATCGGGTAGTGGTGGTTCTCATGATTGTGTTCAGTATTCACTACTGGAGATACAAAGTGGGGTGGGGGTGGGTGCACTGGAACCCCACCATTCTCGGGTAATAAGGGTAGCGGCAAATGTACCTGATAGTTTATCATGGAAGTTTTTAAAGTTAAAAATTATTTCGTTCAGCAAACAAAAATAATTTAATAATTTAAGATTTATGACAAATAAGAAGAGGTAGAAAATATACAGACCGGTAATGGCAATGGTATTAATGTGTGTATGAGTGGTGGGGGCTGGGAGTATAAATGGTGTCGATTATGATCATCAATATAACTGACTCTATAATCTCTGGTCATATATTTGGTGTCTTTCTTAGACTTTTTATTATTGAATCTTTCAGACAAACGAAATATATTTCTAAATTTAAAATCTCTTTTAGTTGTCTCACAAACTTTTACTGATATAACCACTAGTGAGCACACAATTAGCAAAAAACTCAATACTTTTATCGTATTAATCATATTCGAAGCAATGATTGATTTATTGATATCAGAGATCTTCACTATAAAACAAATGAAAACTTTTTTGTCTAATCTTTAGGTTCGAGATTATACTCGACATAACCCTCTCGTAAGTGAGTCTCTATGTCTAGAACCCCATAAAACAACTCTCACATCAGATAACTGTTACAAATCCCTAATGATCTCAATATTTAAATGAATTTTCAAAAACAGAAGTTACTTTTCATCCTAAAAAGTGTTTGTCAATTGAGTTACGCTTTTGTGCCGTCAAATCAATGTCACTGTTTGTGAGCACAGAAAAAAGTTTTCAAAAAAGTGTTATTTCTTTACATAATACTGTAAATGTTATGATTGACATAATCATATAAGCCCCAAACTTTTTCTTATTCATGAACTAATAATTAGATAAAAGGATTAAATAATTTATTTGAATCATAAAAAATAATTTAATTAAAAATAAAATAAAATATAAACACTTTATTTATAAATACAATGAAGTTTAAGTTCAATTGACAACTAATTTTTCTAAGGTATTTGACAATTTCTATGCTATTATTCTACTTAATCTCATCACAATAGTGTTCATTATATCTATAAATTGTTTTTTATTTTTAATTCTTAAACAAAGTATTCAAATATTATGTAAAATGTTGTTTATTTTATCAAATCCTTTGAAATTATAAAAAATAAGTTTTTCTCTAAATTAGAGGTTATGGCAAAACATATTATTGAATTTTCAAAGCCTATGAAACGGTCCGATAGTCAACAGTGACAACCATTCTTACGATTTATTTATTTTTCATTATATAATCATCTCATTGTTTATGCAAATGTTTTCGTTTAAAGTGTTAATTCATTGCATTTTCTTGAAAAACTAGTTTTTTTATTAAATTATAATAATTATTATAATTTACAAAAATGTCTCAAATGTGGGAAATCCTTTTCATTCAATTCCAATGGGTTTCTATTAAATAAAATATAAATAATCAAGAAATCAGTGAAAAACGTTTAATCATCTTTTTTTTATTGAATTAATAATTGTTTTATAATTACTTTGAATAATATGTCACAAAAAACTAGTTTTCAGACAATCCGTTTGAAGACTCATCTGAAGCCCTATTCTTCACTTTTCTGACTTTCAATTCAGACAAATCTATGGAAAAACCAAAACATTTAAAAATAAGTTAATAATCAAATAATTTCTAAATATTAAGTATTTTACTAATTTTATTAAACCTAAAATATTAAACTACATACCGAAGCAATTGGGTTCAGTGCCCACCCAATGACCATTTTTGCACACATGTATGGCATCGCCTAACAGGACTTGAGTTAGGGCACTATTGCACTGGTACTCAACGGTCGTGCCATCGATGGCATACCATTTGGTTTGATTGAAGTAAAAGACATCATTGAAGCGAACGGTTTTGAATTCAGGATTAATTTGGTTGTCCTCCTCTTCAGGTATGGGACAAACCGTTTTGGGTACACATGAAGGGTATGTGCCGTTCCATCGCATGTCATAAACACATTGCCTCTTATGGATGGTTGTGTCTAACCATCAGATTTAAGAAAACTATTCAAAAACAAGTATAAAATGACAAGAACTTTGAAGTACCTGGTAAATCTGGATTAGTGTAGGACACGTACTCCCAGTCCCCTGAACACTGAATTGAATAGTTTATATTTGGCCACAGGATCCGCATATCGAGTCCGTAATGTTCCTCCGGTTCGCCACAAACTGCTTGCCTATCATCGCCGATATCGTATCCCTGAGCCAAGAGCACCATTATTAGCTTATAAGCGATCTCTTTGGAGCTCTGGGTCTCGATTATGATCTCATTTGTCGGACTCTTCTCGTCCTTCACGGCATCGCCCACAGAGTTGGCGTCGCACTCAAAGTTGAGCTCAACTTTCGTGCCAAATCTCCACAACCTCTTTAAATCCCTGAACACATGGCGACAGGTTCTGTAGGGACTGACCCGGGCGTCGGCCGTTAAATTGATTTGCAGCGACTCATCGACCGATACGTTCAGCAAATGAA